AGAGCTCATATTGCTAGAATTCTCTCAACGGCAGTTAAGAATGAATCACTTTAAAATTGCTGATTGAAATATTAATTTCCATTGTTACTTGTGAATTACTGTATTTATATTTGTTTTGAATTTAAATGTAATTTTTTTTGTATTTATTTTGAATTTAACACAATAGCCATTCCTTTCATAAAAAACTTTTGTTCCATGTGTATCTGCTGCCAAGTGGTATTTCGTTAACCAAAGAGTACCACAGTCAGAAAGTATGCTGATCAGATTGTGTCTAATTTTTTTAGATTCTAATGAAAAGATATTGTCTTTATTAAGTCAATTTTTTTCCAATTTCAGATGCTATATTGTTAGTATTCGTATTGTATTTTCCGTTTTTTGTCCTGGAAAAATAAGGATTTCTTTAAAAATATACTATTCAATTCCATGTATTTTTATAATAAGTAGCTTTTTATGGACAGAAATACTAATAACAGGGTTGCCACACTACCTGAAAAACTGGGAAAACCGGAAAAACTCAGGAAATTGGAAAATTGACCAAAAAATTCAGGGAATTTAAATATTTTAGTCAAAATCTGGAAAAGTCAGAGAAGTTCATGCGGCTATTCCCCCCCCCCCCAAAAAAAAATGAGTTTGCGCCGACGTTGGAAGCAATCACTTTCTCGGCGAGTTATGTATATTAAATATTAAATATAAAAATCGCATCCGGAAATTGTGGCTATCTGCTAGAGACCCAAGAATTAAAGCTCACCTAAATGTCAAAGGACCATTAAAAGAGGACATTCAAAGGACCATTAAAAAAGATATTAGGGAATTTAAATCTTAACAGTGGATCAACTTCTTGAACACTCTTGCTCCTGAAGACAATTCTCTCTATGACATTGCTCATAAATTCAAAAAGCCTTTCAAGCAGCTTCCTTCACTTCATGGTTGCAATGGACTTGTTTACTCTGATGAAGATAAAGCCAATACTTTCGCTGACATTCTTGAAGATACCTCCACCGCCTAGTGCTTTCCCATATGATAATGATCATATCATCAAAGTCAATAGCACAGTATCTTCTTTCCTTAATAGCCCTGGACCACTTAATTTCCCCTTTCTCGCTTCTCTGAGAATTGTTGCGGATTTTATTAGCTCTTTAAAAACTGAAAAAGCTCCTGGATGTGATGGCATTTCTTCCAAAGCACTCAAGCATCTTCCAATTAATGCAATTTTGTGCTTAACTAAAATAATTAACTCAGTTATCAAGCCCTCTTACTTCCCCAAAGTATAGAAGCATGCAGTTGTTGTCTTCCCTAAGCCTCATCAAAGCTCTACTTTACCCCAAAATTATTGGCCTATCAGTTTACTTAGTCAAATTTCTAAAATTGCTGAAAAAATTATTCTGTTTTATATTAATCGAATCATTCCTCCTAGCTCTTATACTCCTGATAAACAATTTGGATTTAGACATCTGCACAGCACCAATCATCAGCTTCTCCTTGTCATCAATTATATTACTGATGGATTCGATTGCAAATTTCCTACCAGTGCAATTTTCTTAGATATTGCCAAAGCTTTTGACAGAGTGTTGCACCAAGGACGTATATTCAAACTAATTCAGCTCAATTTTCCGAACCACTTTATTCGATTTACTGCTTCTTGCCTCAGAAATTGCACTTTTGCTGTCAAAATTGGAAATACCCTCTCAACTACAAGAAATATTACTCCACACGTCCCTCAAGGCTTCGTTCTCTCTCCTTTTCTTTACAATATTTATACTCAAGACATTCCAAAAGAATCTCGTATTACTATCGCCTTATTTGCCGACGATACCGCTATCCTAATTCAAGCTTCAACAATCAATACTGTACAAATTTTTCTACAAAACTATTTAGAGCTTCTTGAAAACTGGATGACACTGTGGAGAATGGCCATTAACACTGACCATTATTAAACCGAAGCCATTATTTTCAGAAAAAAAAATTACAAACAAACTTCCTTCCACTTAATTCCATTTTCTTTGACGACGATATTCAGTGGACGGATCAAGTGAAGTATCACGGACTCTCACTTGACAAAAAAACTCGGTTTCCGGCAACATTTACACGAAACTGTCAAGAAATTCAATATCTCAATAGCTACTATGCGTTCTCTCCTCGACAAGCATAGCAATCTGACTATCAACAATAAACTTGTTTAATAAGTCTGTCCTTAGACCTACTTTACTTTACGCCAGTCCGGTATGGGGACACGCTGCTAAAGCCCACATGAAAAAGATATAAGTTATTCTAAATAAAACCCATTGTGAAATTATTAATGCACCCTAGTTCATCCCAAATTCATATATTCACAGAGATCTTCAAATTGATACTATACAAAATTATATAAAAAATCTTGCAACAAATTTTTTCCTTTTTGTACTGTTACATCCAAACAGCTGTATCAGTTCTTTGCGATGCTCATCTTTTCCTCGAGAAAAACACAAATATCCTTCGGTTATTCTTACCTAACATTTTGTTAATTATTTGAAGTACTTACTACCTTACTGATCCAACTTTTTTTCACACTGCATGTCTATTTTAATTCATTACATCTTTCTTTGCCGACTGATGGCTGCTAAGTGAAACATCCCATTCTACCATCTCGATTCTTCTTCTCATCTTTTTGTTGTTCCAGAACTTTTTATCTGACGCAGATAAAAGTGCGTTGTCACTCTGTTTCCATTCAACACAAGTCAAGTCAGGTTTCCAGTAGCTTCAAGTATCAAGAGACTCCCATGCACATATGCAGTGCATGTTGAACTAAAGAAAATATTCTGGTATAATAAAAAATAAAATCAGTTTAATCCTAGTTTAGGGTACCATGGAGGTAGCCTCCATGTACCGTATACTCGGAATTTGGGAATATGATGATGAGCAGTAAACAGGTCATTTCGGTGTTAGCAACAATTTTCAAAATCGTGCCAAGGCTGTATCATATACAGTACAAAGTCTGTAATCCAAAATGATCTATAATCCAGACCTCAAAGCCACAAACTTGTGCACGTTTAATGTTTACGCATGCACATTTAACACAAAAAACAAAGCAATTTAAACAACTTACATTGAAAGAAATGCTTAATGAAGTAAACAAATAAATATTAAGCTTTTTTTAAATTTTGATACCCTTTAGATTATAATTGCTCTTTATTTCATAAATTAGGGTTTCATATTTTTTATTGTATAATTTCTGCATGCCATCTTACCACATTTAAATTGACGATCTATAATCCGGAATCGCTAATGTCCCGACGAGTCCGGATTACGGACTTTGTACTGTACTAGGATTTTACTGCAAAATCTTTTTAAGCCCCCCTTTTTTTAAATAAAATGCCTTATTTGTCATTTTGCAGTAAAATAAAAAAATAGTAATTAGTCACCTAGGCTAACCATTTAATGTAACTATATTTGCAAAGTATCGTTGATTATTCTAATTCAATTTCTAAATAATTATCTTTATTTTAATGTTATTTGTGTCATTTAATGTTCCTTCTTCTCTCTAAATTTATTTTTTATGTATTAGTAAAAATAATACTTTCAAATTTCAGGAAATTTTCTCTGCGTAATCCTGAAATTAATTCAAGCAGTATGATTACATATCATCACGGAATTTAATGCACATATTTTTGCTTATGCATGCTACTAAATAAATACAGTCAAAAGTCGTTAATCCGGACTCGTCGGGACTTCGGCGATTCCAGATTATCGATTTTTCTGGATTATAGATCATCAGTTTAAATCTGGTACGATGGCATGCAGAAATTATAAAATTAAAAATATAAAACCGTAATTTATGAAATAAAGAACAATTATGATCTAAAGGGTATCAAAATTTACAAAAAAAAAAAAGCTTAATATTTATTTGTTTACTTTATTAAACATTTCTTTCAATGTAAGTTGTTTAAGTTGCTTTGTTTTATGTGCTAATACTTTCTCTTTAATTCTGTATAAACAGACATAATTTCTTGTTCCGTTACAAAGTTCCGCTGTTCAATTTCTGTCATTGCTGTGCCGAGAATACCGACTAACTTGTCAATCGCAATTTTTTCGTTTTCACTAACCTCTCTGTCACTTTCTTCATGCCTTTATCCATTTTTTGCAGCAATTTCACTTTTTTTTTTATGGGCATCGAAACATACTTTCGCTTTGTAGATCCTTTGGAAGCTCCAGCATCGGAAATTCTATTTGACATAATCAAAAGTTCAAGCTTACTTTTATAAAAGTGCTCTAACAGTCTGCAAAATATAATAAGCTAGATCCAATTCGAAGATTAAGGAACAACGCAATCTGCAACATTAACTGAAATAGATAATTCATAATTTTAGCTTATACCGTCCGTTATACATTAAACGTATTATGCGCACACGCATATGCGCAGCCGTAAAGGTCTTACGCGCATGCGTAAACGCCTATGCGTCCAAGGGCAAAATATAATAAATAATGACTCGCCAGGTTTGCATCAAGGATTAAAATGTGAGTAGGGATATAAATGAGCGTTTATGTGCATGCGTAAACGCCTATCCGCCTATGCGATCTACAAAGCGAAAGTATGTTTCGATGCGCATGCGTAAACTCCTATGCGCATGCATCAAAGCGACGTATGCGCAGAAAGTTCGTAGCTTTGAGGTCCGGATTATGGGTGTCTGAATTAACAACTTTTGACTGTATAAAATACCTGAATTTATTTTAAAATATTATTAAATAGATTTTTCTTTCGTTTAGCTGATTCATTAGCAGATTCTAATTTCAAGTGGTACCATAATTAATTTACCTCTTAGCACAGCCAATGTGTATTACGCGGATTGACTGGAATTTTCTTAAAACACACATGGAAAAGTCAGGGAATTTCAGTTTCCTGTTTGAGTGGCAACCCTGTAATAATGAAATTTTTATTAATTTGTAATTTTACATTTAAGTTATGAATTTATCAGTTGATTTTTTTTAAGTATATTTTATATGGTACATTTCAAATTTTATTCTAGGAATGGATTCCACGAGTTCCCATACCTGGAGCAACACCTGGACCTGGCCTTGGACGAGCAGCTGGAAGGGGGCTTCCTGCAGCACCTGTGGGAACTGCACCAGTTGGTAAGTATTATTATTATTGTTGTTTTTGTTGAAAATTCTATGGAACTTCATCTCAAATCCTACTAAGAGTGGTCAATTATTTTCATTTTATTTTCTGTATTTCATTATATTTTTCATATATTTTCTTTGTTGGCAAGATGCATGACTTTCTGTTCTTGGAGAGACAAAAAGCCACATTGAAGTTTCAACTTTATTGAGATTTGTTGATTTAAAGAAATAGGAGTTCTCGAGAATTTTTTGTAGCATCATTAGGCAGGAATCTTTCTTTCTTGAATTATCTTAGGCATTTTTTGCTATATTTTTTACATAATAGCCAGAGCAAATAAATGAATTGTTAATTGATATTTGTTACTGTAAAATGGATGCCTTATTGTTTTGCCATACTGAACACACATTGAACATACTGAAATTGTACTTTCACTTGGATAATTTGTGAGTTGTTACTACAGGTTTATAATTAATCACTGTATTTTCACAAATTGATAGATTCGTGATCTGGCACTAAACTTTTCCACAGCATTAAATTTTTACAATTTGGTGGACTCATGACTTAGCACTACACTATATTTTCACGTTCATCACTTGACACTACATATTTGTTAAACCTGCTACATATGTAAGTCATAATTTAAAAATGGAATTACAGTACAAAGTTCGAGATCCAGACGTCCAATATCCAGAATAATCTAAAATCCGGACTAATCTGAAAGCCACTAATGAAAATGTTTTTTGGGAATTTTTTAAATGCTTTGTGCATGTGCATTTAATTTTTCCGCCATAATAAAACATGGAGAATCCATAATTTTAATTTCACTTCAGGATTAAAAAAATACCTCGTTATTGAAGAAGCGGTCATTTTAGCATAAATTTGTGTGATCAATAATTTGGTTGCATATCTGCTTAGCATATATCTAAAACCGAAACATTCTACATAGAAACATTGTTCATTTTATAACTACTCACATTTTAATCCCTGACGCAAACCTGGCGAGTCATTATTTATTATATTTTGCTTTCATTACCATATATTTATCAACACATGACAACTTGACTAATGACTCATGCAGTGATATGCCTAAGCAGTTTTTTTTTTTAATATTAGCAATTGAATACCAAGTAATATGAAAACCTTTAATGGTGACATTATGTTTGGCAATGATTACAGATTTAAGTTAAATGTATTAAATGTTGACAAGGAAAAATTTAACAAAAATTTCTTTCCATATGCTAAAAATAGATTTTGTTAATGATACTCATAAGCCAAAAGATTACATTTAGTTCTATTTGAATTAAGAATAACTGATTTTTTTATTCACTTAAACCCAGAACCAGCACCAGAGCTCATATGACCCCACTGGCCGGCAGAATTTAGGAAAGACAAAATTTCTGTCATTTAAAGAAACACAGCTACAAAATTAAGAGATGATAAAATTTTTAGAATTTTGGGAAAGCACTGGGATCGAAAATTAAATGGCAGCTAAAATTTAGAGCTTAGGAAGGTGCTTGGTAGCAAAATTTATAACCTGCAGAGACTACATCAGGCGACAAAATATCTGGCACCTGTCCTCAATAAGCTTTTGTAGGAATTTGTTTTTTCAATTCCAATCAATTTCAGTTAATATATCAGATTGTGCTGTTCCTTAACTTCCTGATTTGATCCAGCTCTCTCTTTTTCTCTCTTTTTTTTTTGGCCTGCTGTTATAATTATTACAGCAATTTTATGAAAACTAAAGTTTTGAACTTTTGATTATGTTGAAAAGCTTCTTACTCTGGAGCTGCAACAGGATCTACAAAGCGAAAGCATATTTCAATGTCCATTAAACAAAAAAATGATATAGATATATTCGTCTCAAAATTATGTGAGGAGTGTGACATTGGAAAGTCAACTGTATATGACATAACAGAAAAAGGAACTTTATGAATTTTTTGTGGATTCTGACACCCCATTCGCAATGAATAACAGACATATTCTTCGCTCTGTTCAAATTGAGAGTCATGACAAAGTGATGGTTGAATGGGCAGACAGAGGCACAGCGAGGGCATGCCATTGACGGGTCCAATGTTAATAGCTTGAGCCAAAATATTTCATGAAGAAATGAACTTAAAAACTGAGTGCACATATTCGACAGGTTTTTTAACCAAATTTAAAAATTGCCATGGTATAAGCAATTAAAAATTTCAGGTAAAAAAAGCTTCAGGTGATACTGAAGCTGCTGAACTATTTGCAGATTAATTCATTGAACTCATTAATAGTGAAATGCTATCTCCAGGACAAATTTACAACGCTGATGAGCCTGGTCTTTTTTGGCAATATTTACCATGAAATATCGTGGCATACTCTACAGAAAAGGCTCCAACTGGTGTCGAAGTTTCCCAGGCTAGACTAACAATTTTAGCTGCAGGAAAGCACAAGTAGAAACTTTTCGTTATCGAAAAAATACATGACCTCAAGCATTTAAAGGAGTAAAGGTTTTCTCCTTATCTATCATGCAAATAAAGAGCATGAATGACACAAGCGTTAATGTATGATATGTTTGAAAATCATACCTGAGGCTCAACAAAATATGAATTCGGTTGGTTTACGTACGACACAAAAATTGTCCTGATTGTAGATAACTGTTCGGCTCATATTTCATTTAATGTTTCATTCATTAAGTTTTAGTGAAAGGTAATGTGTTATTCTTTCCTTCAAACTGTATGTCCATCATTGAGCCTATGTATATTGGAATAGTGCATGTGCTGAAATACAAATATAAAGTAGCATTTTTAAAATCCATGTTAAATTTCTGAATAATTGCAACACTATTCAAGAATTTAAAAATATTTTAACATAAAACCTGCTGTGTAGAGCATCACAAGATTGTGGGAAATGTCCCTCCAGATACTTTAAAAAATGCTTGGCATAATTTATGGCTAGCTACTATATTTCATGTTGAGGATCATGAAGCTGATAGTTGCGAATTTGAAGGCTTTCGGATATCGCAAAACAAAGGTGAAAATTTCTAATTAATGGATTTTGTAAAGAAATGTGGAGAAGTGGTAATAAATGAAGATGATATAATGTAAATTTTTGATTGCAATGAAAATGCTCAATCATCAATCAATTAATGGATGGCGAAATCCGTAGTATGGTTCTCGATCCAGAAAATTCCTCAACTGATAGTGAAGAAAGTGACAGAGAGTTTATTGAAAACAAAAAAATTTCGATTGACAAGTTAGTCGGAATTCTCAACTCGGCAACTACAGAATTTGAATAGTAGATTTCTATAACTGAACAACAACAAATTATGCCTGTATGTAAAATTGAAGAGAAAGTATTAGTACAAAAAAAGAAGCATCTTAAACAATTTACATTCAAAGAAATGTTTAATAAAGTAAATAAATATTACACTTTTTTTGTAAATTTTGGTACCCTTTAGGTCATAAATGCTTCAGTATTTCATAAATCATGATTTCATATTTTTAATTTTATAATTTTTACATGCCATCTTATTAGATTTAAATTGATGATCTAATATCTGAAAAAATCCCAAATCCGGAATCGGCAAAGTCCCGACGAGTCCAGATCTCGGACTTTGTAGTGTAATGCGTAAAAATTATATTTTTTATACAGTATTTCATTAAAATAATTTATTCAAACCTGTTTATATCTTTTACAATTTCTTTTAAGCATTACATGTAAATATGTGTTACACAATCAGTAATTATTTTTTAACCTTTTAATTATGAATCAATTTTCATACAGTGTCAATGCATATGTAAAATTCTCATTATCTCTTAATTGTTTGCATTATTGCTTACATTGATTATTTAATCTACACGTTCCCTTTAATTATCAATGATTTCTCACAGCTGTTTAAGTCACAAGAATTTCATATCTAGCCTCTTACTTGTTGCTATGCTGAGGTGTTCTTAATATTTTTTTGGTGTAGTTGTAATGAGTGTTCAGTGGCGCAGTGGCTAGCACATCGTGCAGTAGCACCACAGGTCCAGGGTTCAAACCCGGGCTGGGCAAGGTCAGTTCAGCCGTTCATCATTTCCATCCCTTGGGTCGATAAAATGAGTACCAAGTTCGCTTGGAGACTAAACATTGGGTGTCCTGCGACCAAGCTGACCACTTGCTCAGGGCATATGTTTACGCACCCCGGGGCCCACCAGTGGCCAAGCGGTAACGTTGCTGAACACTGGTAGTTTGGTCCGAGGTTCGAATCCTGCGAACAGGCATGCTGCCTGGGTGTTTTCGTGGTTTTCCCAATGTGTAACATGTATACAAGCCAGTTTTCCTTAAAAAGTCCTCCACGAAGGCATCCCTCGCTTAAGGCAGATAGTCTCAAGTGCTTTGCCGTAATCTAATCAACCGAACCAAACCAATACGCACCCTGGGCTCACGGTCAAGAAAGCAGATTTTGGGGCACTGCAGGCCCATTAGGGCTGTTTACGCCACTGAGTTTAGTTTTTTCTTTAGTAGTATAAATGAGTATTTTATATATTTTTTATTTTTTAAAAATTCCATAACCTTAGTCATCCTAGACCAGCCTGCAGCTAACCAAATGTAAATGGAAGCAGCCACCAAGCATTCCTACTATACTTTGATACATTTTATGCCTCCAGAACTTTTGAATTCTCGCAAGGGGTCTCAAATTCTTGTTATAATAAGTTTGCCAAGAACCTTTTACTAGTTTAAATGATTGCTGTAGTGCTGTAATTTTTTCTATATTGATTATTACCTCTGTAAGGATAATTTCTTCTACTAGTGTTGTAAACATAATTTTGTCCTCTATATTATCTCTGGAACTTATCTTATTTATAAAAATGCCGACAATTTGTTGTTAAGTATTTTTATTGCATATGTGACAGAATATTCTCTCAAATCTATCTTTGTTATGAAATGTAGAACCATTATGAATGATTTTGTATCATAAGTACTTATCGGAATTTTTGAAGAAAGTTGACTTACTTTATTTTTTAGTTCCTGAGTAATTTTCTCACGTTCAATTCTT